GGGGGGGGGGGGAACAGAGATCGCATGGGGTCACGTGACGGGCGGCCAGCTCCTGCGCCCCTCGTCAGACACTTGAGGAATCCTTAATTTGCGATGAGACTCGGTTTTCTCGTTTGAGTGCAGTGCATCTAAGCGCCTCACGTGCTCAGAATTTCCAGGTGGCCATGGCCCCGTGGGGCGGAGGCAGATCAGAGGTCACAAGTGCCCGGGAGAGGGGCCGTTACTAAGGGGGAGACCCCGCACCGGCGGGTGGATCACACGGGAACCCCCGTCTGCCGGTGCCCACGGCCACACGCCCTCTCACGGGAGCGCCGTGTGACGTCGGCAGGAGCCGGAGGACGAGGACAGAGGTTCTCTGATGGACGTGAGGCGAGCTGGGGAGGTACAGCACGCCCTGCCCTCTGCACCTGCTGACCCCCGCGCCCTCTGCACCCCCTGCGCCCTCTGGCCGCGAGGCTGAAGGCACCAGGTGGTGAAGGGCTGGCAGGTGCAAGCTTCCCAGAAGCCCCAGGGTGCAGAGGTCAGAGGCTGCCTGGGGCGGGGCGGGAGGGGGGTGCGCGTGGCCTGGAGACGAAGCCACTCACTTGCAGTCCTGCCGGGGCTTGGGGACGTAGCCCGGGTACGAGTCTTCCGTGATCATCCTGCACATCTTGCTGTCCCGGTCGGAGGGGAGGAGGGTCCCAGACTTGACCAGGAGGCCCAGACAGTGGTCAAAGGTGTTGCGTTCCTCCGGCCCGTCCTCCGTGAAGAAGCAGTGGCCCAGGGAGTTATAGCCCACCACGTCCTTGACCTGCAGGGGCCAAGACAGGAGGGGACACGTCGCCCAGCGTCCAGCTGCTCATCAGGCACACGTGAGACGCCGTCAGCCATACGGCCGGTCCCGCTAGGAGCAGGGGAGGCGTGGGGAGGGGGAGGGACGAACGGCGACCTCGAAGCCCCTTCCCGCTGGAGGTGCTGCGGCCGAGGCTCCGCGGGGCGGGAGGGGACAGGGTGTCAGAAGTGCGTCCAGGAGGAGGCAGGGACAGGTCACGTGAGCCCACCCTGGTGAGAACGCGGCAGGCCCCCGGCCCACAAGGACGGCAGGCGAGGTAGGGGGGGCAGGAAGGTAGGGGGAGGGTCCCCGGGAGGCAGCACGAGAGCCAGGCCAGGCCGTGCCCTCACCCGGGGGCCCGAGCCAGCCTCACAGCTCAGGAGGCACAGCCCGCGACATCTGCAGACTCGAGGGCCAAGAACCAGAAAAGTGTGCAAACCCCAGCTCGTCACAACCCATCTTGGAATCCCGGAGTCAGCGGGGGGCGAGGGGCGCAGGGGGGAGGAGGAGCGGGAAGGCCGTTCTCAGGCCCCGAGAGAGCCGGGATGGTCCCAGGGCATCTGTCACACGGGCCCCCGGCCCCCGGTCCCCTTGCCCGCCACAGACGAGCCATTCCAGCTCTGTCATCTCGGAGGCCCCTCCTGGGCCTGAACCCCGCTAACATATCAGTCTCGGAACCAAGAGATCCTCAGGTCGGCCTGAGCCCCGGCTCCCTGCCCAGCGCCAGTCGCTCACAAGCATCTCTGGCAGACGGGCTCTGTGCTCCCCCTCGAATGCCCCAGAGACGGGACGCTCACCACCTCACGAGGCAGCCTGTCCACGGTGGGACCCCCAGGACGGCGAGAAGCACCTCGTTCATCTTAACCGAGACCTGCCGTCCTCACCCCCACCCTGGGGCCTGACCGGCCAGTGGCGTCACCCGACGAGGACGCCCCTGCCTCCCTAGGACCGTTCCACTCACACCTGTTAAGTACCTACCGCCAGGCCAGGCCCGGCCCGGAACATCGACACACCGTCCAGACACAGCTCCCCCCGCGGTACTGGGCACCGTTCGAGGGGCCGGCCCGTACTTGGTCAGATGTTTAGCAGCAACCCTGGCTTCTGCCCCCGATGCCGACAGCACCTCCTCAGAGTGACAACAGGGGCGCCTGGGCGGCCCAGTCGGTTGAGCCTCTGACTTCGGCTCGGGTCACAATCTCTCAGTCTGTGGGTTCGAGCCCCGCGTCGGGCTCTGTGCTGACAGCGCGGAGCCTGGAGCCTGCTTCGGATTCTGTGTCTCCCTCTCTCTCTGCCCCTCCCCGGCTCCTGCTCTGTCTCTCTCTCTCAAAAATAAATAAACATTAACAAAATTTTTTTTAAATGTCTCCAGGCTCATTGCCAATATTGCACTGGTGTGTGTGTGTGTGTGTGACAAAACTGGCCTGACTGGGATGCACAAATCGAGGCTAAATACCCCAACTCCCTCCCAAGTCGTTGACGAAGCTGCCTATTCCCATTTTTAGGCAACCACGCTCTGGAAGCATCCGGAACGGGGACCCTTTGTGTCCTTTTAATCTTGCTGAAACCTCGCACGATTTCTATGATCATTGTTTTCGGTTCTTCGCTTTGTTGTGTTTTTAGAGGTAGGGAAAGTGAGGCTCTGGGAAGTCAAGTGATTTGCCCAAGGTCACAAGACCCACGTGTTCAAGGTCAGGGCTGGAGCCCCAGTTTTCTAATTGTGTCCATTCACCCCAAAGGGGAGGATCCGCCCTGTTCCAGGCGAGCTCTGTTCCCTCAAGCATCTGTCCCTAAACTCTGGCCACTGGCAAGGGCGTGATCTTGAATCCTATTCGGTCCCTCAATGAGCATTTTGTAAACACCAAAGTCATCCAGTGGGACTGCTTCCTCTCCTCCCAGTGAGCTCTGAAAGCGTGTTATAAATAGCCTGGAAAGACAAGGACGGGAGGAAGAGGCAAGGAGCTGGGAGGCATCTCAGAGCAAGTTCCGGGCCTCAACTTGGCAAGGATGCCCAGGGAAGGGGTGGGGGTGGGGCGCCTCCCAGGGG